CCAATCAGAAATTTTGTAGTGGTTTTTGCGGTCTCGACTATGCCACTCACATAGGAAGCACGGGTACTTTGTGTTCCCTAGTTGCATTCCTGAAATGAGTGCGACCATTTTGAGATCAGCACAGATCAACCACTTATGGGAGGCATAATTAATTTTCTCGAGCAGGAATTTCACGTTCTCGTAATTTTCTTTTAATGACGTAGAGTAGGCGATAGGCACCGAAGGAAATATATTGCCTATATGAAGAAGCACGGCCTTCAGACTGGTACAGAAGGAATCAATGAAGAGACGCCATTCCTCCGCATGATGCTTGAATCCCAGACTCTGCATCAAACCGTATAGATCAGAGCAATAACAAAGCTCTTCATCATTCCTGAAAAATTGATGAAAAGTCTTGTCTCGATCACGGAAATGACTGGTGCAAACACCAAGCTGCAAGATGTGACACTCTGCCATCCTCGAACCTATTAGCTCTGCCATGTCTTTTGTGAGACCAAAATCACTCACCCAATCATCTAATTGCTCTTGCGAAAGGGGACGTGGAGTTACGGGAGCTGTTACTTCTTTTTCTGTATACTCGGGGTCTTCTTCATTGCTGTGCTGTATGTCATCAGCTCCAGATTTGTCTCTTTCTTTCACGAAATTGTCACTCTTAAATATTGGGATGGTTGGTGAGAATGATGGTAGGGCCATTGAGGAAACGTTTGGATAATTCAGAGATTTTGTATTTCTGGTGGAATATCCGTATGTGTTGGTTAGGCAGAAAAAGCAGTCCATAATGTGATCCTTTTGCTCTTTCCATATTGCGGGGATGTTGAACTTGAACTTCATAATGTCTTGCTGAACTGATAACTGCAGATTTGCACGACAAGAGCTGCAGCACGTAGTTGGGCCCCACGGTTTGCCCACGTTTGATACAGGGCGAATACCAATTTTTTTGTAAGCACTTTCCAAATCAGGGGTGATATTTCTCCTCTGTGACTTTGGGGTGAATCCAGCACAAACGTAACAGAAAGATTCTGGTGAGTTTTTACACTTTCGCGACATCCTTATAGAAATGATTAGAGAAAATTTCAGCATTCATCTCTGAAGTTGGAAATGATTCTCCCATGAACATTCTACTGTTAATTCAAATAACACAATGAATAGGTGAATAGAATCAGTAAAATCGAAATTCAATGGGGAACTCAATCCATTAGCAGCATAGTTCTATGCTAGATATGAAAAATGAAAGATAGAAATGAAATAGGAAAGAAATAAAATAGATTTGAAAAAGACCAGTAGTGCATTGGTAAAATGGTTCAAGTCGACGTAGCTTCTAGCTGCATTCTCGAGATATATCTCGAAATGTAACAGCGATAGCGAAATTTTTATAATGACCTTTCTTGTAGCTCTCATTTCACTCTAGTATAGACAAGGTATGTTTGGTGAATGACTAGGTTTAGGGTGGATGTGGGATGAAAATGTGCAAGGAAATGTTGGGAAAATTACGTTTAGCCGGATTTAAAAAATTACACTTTATTTTGTGGGCTCGAACTACTTGTCAAAATTTTATGTACACTCTTTGGTAATTTCACTGGTGAATGTCTAATTGCACTGACGATTGTCTTTTCCCTGTAATTCGTTGAGTCACTGAAGTTAAACTGAATTTATTCGACAGGTTGATGTACTGAACAAGGATATTAAATTTGGAATACTAATTGACTGAATATACTAGATCATTATCGTGACGATACTGAAACACAACGGAAGTGACTGACTCTTCCGGGTGCCGCGCTAACCTGTGTCCGTTGATTCGAGGGGTCACGGAGATTTTCGGAGATGGCCGAGTTAGTTGACCGTGATAAATATGGAGATTTTAGCTGCATTTCGAACACCCCGGGGGCAATTCATCATCAGGGATGATGAATTAATGGTGATTCTAGTCCTGTTGAGCTTCTTCTGCATCATCGTCTGGAGGTTGCTCTGGAGGTGGTGGATCTGATGGCAGTAGGCAAAGCTTGGTGATTGGTCTGTCAAGCTCTGTGTAGGTTGTTCTTATGTTTTGTATGATTGGTGATCCATCTGCCTGCCTTGGTACTTCTGCTTTTGCGGTTCTTATGGTTGCGACTCTCGTTAGCCCATCTGCTCCTGGGCGTGTCGTAATGACTCGTCCGATTGGCCATCGTGCTGGTGGATAATTTTCGTCGATCATCAGCACCATGTCGCCAACCTTGATATTCTCTCCTCGATGCGTCCACTTATAGATTGCTTGATAACGTTGAAGACACTCTTTGGCCCACCCGGACCAGAATTGTTGAGTTAGCTGCATTACAAGGTTCCATCTCTGCAGTTTGCTGGGGTTCTTGTCGATGATTGATGCCTCTGGAATCAGTTGAAGAGGCTCACCTATCAGGAAGTGTCCTGAGGTGAGTACTTGGAGATCGTCTGGGTCATCTGACATGGGACAGATTGACCTGGAATTTAGGCAGGCCTCTATCTGGATCACGACACTGTTGAGTTCCTCAAATGTGAGTGTTGTTGTCCCCAAGACTCTTCTAAGGTGATACTTTGTTGATTTCACGGCTGCTTCCCACTTGCCACCAAAATGGGGTGCTCGTGGTGGTGAAAAGCTCCATTGAGTCCCATTGGTGGCGAGAGCAGCCTGAACCTGCTGATTTTCTCTGGATGCTCGGTGATAGATCTTCTCTAAGACCTCTGCTACGCCCACGAAGGTAGTGGCATTGTCACTGTATATGACAGCTGGAATACCACGTCTTCCGGTGAATCTCTTGTAGGCTCCGATGAAGGCGTCAGTTGTCTGTCTGGTGACTAGCTCTAGGTGAACTGCTGATGTGGTGAAGCACACAAAAACTGCAATGTGCACTAACACTGGTTGTACATTCGTTGGTCTCCATTTGAGGATGGCGAATGGTCCTGCATAGTCCACCCCTGTATGGAGAAATGCTCTTGCTGGTGAGATTCTCGTTGTTGGTAGTTGGCCCATCTGTTGCTGGGCCTGTCTTCCTCGGTGTCTGGTGCAGATGGCACAGAGTTGAATATACGCTCTAACTGTGCCTCTGCCACCGATTATCCACTACCTTTGACGTGTGTAGGCCAAGGTGAGTTGAGTTCCTCCGTGGAGTGTTTTGCGGTGAGCTTCTTCGATGACTAGTGTGGTGAGGCGTGANGGCGTCAGTTGTCTGTCTGGTGACTAGCTCTAGGTGAACTGCTGATGTGGTGAAGCACACAAAAACTGCAATGTGCACTAACACTGGTTGTACATTCGTTGGTCTCCATTTGAGGATGGCGAATGGTCCTGCATAGTCCACCCCTGTATGGAGAAATGCTCTTGCTGGTGAGATTCTCGTTGTTGGTAGTTGGCCCATCTGTTGCTGGGCCTGTCTTCCTCGGTGTCTGGTGCAGATGGCACAGAGTTGAATATACGCTCTAACTGTGCCTCTGCCACCGATTATCCACTACCTTTGACGTGTGTAGGCCAAGGTGAGTTGAGTTCCTCCGTGGAGTGTTTTGCGGTGAGCTTCTTCGATGACTAGTGTGGTGAGGCGTGACTGGCAAGGCAAGATTTTTGGGAGAATTTCATCTGGATTTAGCTGCGAGTTCTTGAGGCGTCTCCCAAGTCTCACGATCCTTTCGTTGTCTAGTGTGGGTGTCAGCTTAGCTAGTTGATGATTTCTCGGTAGTTGGTGATTTTTCTGGAGTACTCGAATGGCTGGCCCAAAGTATTGATGTTGGGTTATCTTTACCCAAAATAACCTCGCCTCGTTGAGTTCTCTTATTGTGAAGACAGGTCCCGGGGGCATTGGCTGCCTCCTGAATCTGTCGATAGCTCTGTTGACCGTAGCTTTTACGGCTAGCAATTTAGCCATCGTCTGATACCTGTTGAGTAGCTCTGCAATTTCGTTGATTTTAATCGCAACTGAATGGGCTGGTGCTGGTTTTGCATCTCTGGCCACCACTGGGATGTCCATGGCTGGAGCATCGATTGATGATTGTGGCCATTCTTCAGGATCCTGATTGATCCATTCAGGTCCCGACCACCACAGTGGATGATCTGCTAGCTGACTCGGTGATATGCCTCTGGAGGCACATTCAGCTGGATTCTCCTTCCCACTGACATGTCTCCAGGTAGCATTCGGGAGAGTTTCCTGGATCTTGGCGACCCTGTTATGGACGAAGTCCTTCCATCTTGATGCGTGGCTCCTGATCCAAGCTAGTGTTACTGAAGAGTCAGACCAGAGATAGGTATCTACCTGGTCGAGTTGGAGCATTTGCTTCGTTGATGATACTAGCTGAGTCAGTAGAAGAGCCGCTGTGAGCTCTAGACGAGGGATGGTCATGCGCTTGAGTGGTGCTACCTTCGTCTTCGCGCATGCCAGCACTGTTGATGTTGAGTCGTTGAGGGTTTTGGTGCGAATATACACTACTGCACTCATGGCTACCGTTGAAACGTCTGCAAATCCATGAATTTGGATGTTGAGTTACTCTGTCTAGATCGTTGAGATTCTCTCGGAATATCTTCCAGCGTTGAACATACTCGTCTGGAAGAGGATCATCCCATTTTAATTTCAATCTCCAAAGATCTTGTAGGAGAATCTTTCCCTGGACGACAACTGGTGCGATAAATCCCAGTGGATCAAAGATCTGGGCTATTTCAGAAGAGACTACTATCTTGGTGATTGTCGTCGTATTGAAGTCCTTTGATTTGTACCGGAATGTGTCGGTGGATTGATGCTAACACAATCCAAGTACCTTGGTGACTGACTCCTCGAACTGGATAATTTCTTCTTCAGTTGATAGGCCCAACTCATGCAGAGCCTCTGGACAATTGCTGCTCCACTTCTGTAGAGAGAAGCCTCCTGCATGGCAAAGCCCTTGTAGCTGCGTTGCGATCTCCTTGAGACCGTCTTCTGTCTCTGCACCGCCGTAAATGTCGTTAACGTAACGATCTCTGGTGAGTGTCTCTACTGCTGCTGGGAAGCGGTGCCCTTCATCTTCTGCTAGTTGTTGAAGAACTCGTAATGCAACCATGGAGAACAATTAAGTCCATAGGCGACTGTCGTTAACTGGTAGGTGACTGGTTGTTGATTCTCGTCGATCCACAGGATTCTCTGAAGATCCCAGTCATCTTGGTGAACTCGTATCTGGCGGAACATCTTGACAATATCCGTGCCAAACACGAGTCTGTGCCTCCTCATCCACGTCAGGATAACCATGGCATCGTTCTGCAATTTTTCACCAGAATACAGTATATCGTTAAGTGACATACCTGTTGAGCTGGGGCTGGAGCCATTGAATACGACTATCAGCTTCGTTGTGATGGCCTCCTCTCTCAGTACCCCGTGATGTGGAAGATAGTAGACTGGCACGGGTTCTGGAGTCTCTGGTGCTAGTCTCATGTTCCCCAGTGCTGCGTACTCGTTGATGAACTCTCTGTACAACTGGGAGTATGCTTGATCTGTGTTGATTCGACTCACGATCGATTTGAGTTGACGTACTGCTTTAAATTTCGATTCTCCGAGCGCTACTGCTGAAGTTTTGAGGGGCAGTCTCACGATGTATTGCCCAGTGTTGTCTCTGCTATGAGTTGCTCTAAAGTGCATCTCGCACTCGTACTCATCTGGTGAAAGCTCTGATGTTGATGATCTCTCGTTTGGCAGTTCTTCCTGGACCCAACATTTCTGCAGAAGCTCTAGAAGTTGTTCATTTGAAGATTCTCGTACAGCTGATAGAGATACCTTTATTGAACAATTTGTGCATTTGATTGGTCCAGATAGTATCCAACCGAATACTGTGCGTTGGCCAACTACTCTCGATTGCTCTGACTTGACAACTTCATCCATGATGATCCGCCCATAGTTGTCAGCCCCTAGTATGATGTCGATTGGTCCAGGCCTTAGATAATGGGGATCGGCTAGCTGAAGATTCTGAAGTGAGCCGATCCTCGCTGATGAGCATGAGAATGACGGAATTATTGCGGTAAGCCTCTTTAGAATGTGGGCGCTGAGTTACAGTTGATGACTCCCATGGCTCGCTTGTAGAATGACTGAAACTATTCCTCTGGTGTGTCCTGAATTAATTCTACCAATTCCCACTAGCTCCACTGTTGATGCTCTTCTCTGTAAATGCAGTTGATTAACTAATTGTTCGGAGATAAACGATACCTCTGAACCCTGGTCGATGAGTGCTCTGGCTTTTGTCGTGAATCCTCTCGGTGATATTACTTTTACTCGTGCTGTTGCCAACAGCACTGACTGTTGATCTGCTTCTCCTTGGTGATTTTCGTGGTTGATGTTCTCTGCTTTCTCATTGATCATTTTGTTGTTGAAGTTCACTGCTACTGGTGGTGATGTACTGGATTCTAATGTTGAGGAATGATCAATGAGATGGTGAGTGTGCTATTGAGGTTCAATTCATTCACTCACTGTTCCCGTGATCCTCTTGCTGCCTGGACGTTCCGGCAGTCTGAATGGGCTCAGCTGGAGTGCGTTGGGCTGGAGGCGGGCTCATCATCCATAAGCTCCCTCCATGGATGAGAGTGTGGTGATACCTGCTGCATTTGTGGCACTTCTTGTCCGACGTGCACTTGGCCTTCGTGTGTGGCCCTAAGCAGTTGAAGCACAGTCCCTTGGTGATAACGATATCGTTTCTCTTAGCTGGGGTGAGCTCAATGAACCTCTGGCACGATGCGATGAAATGCTTGTCCTGACAGTAGGCACAGCAGTTCCTTGGAAGTGGCCTTTCTGCCTCGTTTTTTTCCTGCTGCATGATGAGTGCTGTTTTTGAAGCTGGAGGCGTTGACTTTTGTTGAACGAGCTCTTTTGATCCTGACGATCGACTTGGACTGTTGATTTCCTCAGGAGTGGTGATCGGTTTAGTTGTAACTGCCTCATTTTTGCTGGCAGTCCCTCTTCTTGTGTGACTTGCACAATTTCCTCACTATCGCTCTCTGGTTGTTGAGTCTCTTCTTTGGGTTCGTTGACCTGAGTGTCGTCTGCCATGGTGATTGTCCGTACTAAGTTGTCGGTTTAGGTGAGTTATCGGCTGTTGAGGGGCTACGGACGGCTGTTGAGTTACCGATTGCCGAGAGTTGGGTGAGTTACCGACTGCCGAATTTTGATGAGTCGCCTGTTGCGTGGCGCACGTGGCCAAGCGTTGGTGGGCTTCGGCGACACTCGTCACTCCCGAGATTTCCCGATCTCCGACACTGATACACTCACTATGTCCTTTGGTACCCCGTCGCCCTTGCGGGTGTAAACAAAGCGAATGTTCTAGCACTGTCCGTTGATTTGCCCATGCGAACCCCGAAAGTTTGTTCGACACGAGGCGTCCCTTGAATTTTCCACAACACTTTACACACGTTTTCACCCACTATCCGGCTCGAAGGACCACTGTTTGGTGAATGACTAGGTTTAGGGTGGATGTGGGATGAAAATGTGGAGGAAGATGTTGGGAAAATTACGTTTAGCCGGATTTAAAAAATCACACTTTATTTTGTGGGCTCGAACCACTTGTCAAAATGTTATGTACACTCTTTGGTAATTTCACTGGTGAATGTCTAATTGCACTGATGATTGTCTTTTCACTGTAATTCGTTGAGTCACTGAAGTTAAACTGAATTTATTCGGCAGGGTGATGTACTGAACAAGGATATTAAATTTGGAATACTAATTGACTGAATATACTAGATCATTATTGTGACGATACTGAAACACAACGGAAGTGACTGACTCTTCCGGGTGCCGCGCTAACCTGTGTCCGTTGACCCGAGGGGTCACGGAGATTTTCGAAGATGACCGAGTTAGTTGACCGTGACAAATATGGAGATTTTAGCTGCATTTCGAACAAGGTCTTTATGAAAATTTCGCTATCTCCCTTGGATCCCGAGATATTAATCGGAAACTGACGCCAGGATAAAATTGACTTAGACCGTTTTACTAATTCACTAATGAGATAGAGCACACATAAGCATACTTGTTTCTCGTGTGCAATTATTAGCTTGGCTACTCTAATGATTCCAGGTGAAGCAGAATTAAAACGACAACAAAAGGTTCTCGGTTCAGGTAGCATGAAGAAATGAGAAATTATTTTATTCAGGGTAGAAAATTTTATTTCAGGGGAGTAAGTTGTTGTAGAGAACAACTCAGTGTCTCAGTGCTCATAGAGGTATAAAATGTTTAGAAACTTGAGGGTGAGATGAAGCTTTCACTGTGCACTGTGTGGATTGAGATTAAATACATTTACTCTCCATCTGTCCACTGTACAGGACTGATAAACGATCCAACAGTACCCTAAAATCTATCTCCGTCACAGCACCTTAATATGTAAAAAAATAAAACAAGGAGAAAATTCAATACGTGTTTAATCAGGAAATATACCTGCAATTATGTGAATTAAATTGCTGCCGATGGCCTCCGACAACAGCCAATTTCATAAAAGTCTGATAATTCTCTTTCCCAAAGCTCAGTTATCTCTAGGAGGAAGGAATTCAATGAAAAATCTTTTTCAGGGCTCATTATGAAAGCTTTGAAGAAAACCGAGGTTAACCACGTGTCTACAGAATTGAATTCGGTGGGGTTAGAAAAATATGTAACCAACTTCCGACTAGTTCCCCTCGTTGCACGAAAATAATGAAAATTTCGCAATTTCATGATTGATTTTCAGCTCAATTAGGTCATGGATTCCCCAGAGATTTATTCCCTCGGATAAACAAATCTTTCTTCAACTTCCTGTATTTTTTCCATCCTATTAAGTACAAAATTAGTTGACTTTTATTTTTTTCTAATACGCCCATTTCGCTACTTTTCACAACTTCAACATTTTTTTTCTCCGAAACCTGACGTGCTAGCGAAATTTTACAAAAACACAAATAAATTCAGGGTGAAAAAATCTATCTACAGTATAAATTTCATTTCTGGCAGAAAACATGGCCCAATTTTGTTGGACCGTGTAACGTTGGTAAGATTTATAACAATATTGTTGATATTGGCTACGGTGTGATTGGGGAGTTGATGGGGAACAAGGTAATGAAGGGCTTGCGTCAGGGGATGTGTTGGAGAAGCTGGCGGAACACCAGAGGGATCAGGTCTGTTGACGAGATTATTGAGATTACAATAAGGTGCACCGTTGGAGGAAATGAGATAGTCTTTATGAGAGGTGCTTTGGGGGATGGGAGGACGTCTGGTTTTGGGATGAGAGGAATTAGATTGTTGAGTGTTGTTAGTTTGAAAGCTATTAAAATTAGGGTAGAAAAAATTGTGAGAGGTCAGAGGCTCATTGGAAGCCGTTAGTGGTCTGGTAGTTTTGCGCAATCGACGTTTGGCAGCATTGGAGAAAGTTTTATCAGGAGGTGAAGATGGAGGGGGAGAGGTTTGTATATTCTCAGGAGATAATTGGGGAGTAGTAGATCTATTCACCTGAGAATTAATAAAGGGGTAATTGATGGGGTTGAATTCCGAAGGGGGAGGAGTGTAGGCGTCTAACTGGGTAAGGAAACTGCCGTTCATGATGTCCTTTGCTTCGGCATAGGAGACTTCGTTGGCTGCAGCGTATTTGTGAATGAATCGTTGTCTCTGTAGTTCCGGGCAGTCATTGAAAGTTGAGGTGTGCTTACCTTGACAATTGATCTTCATGATCCTCTTTCCCGCAGTGAGAACACGTTTTGTGGCTTCTGCAAAACTTTTGGGTATGGCCAAAGCGTAGGCAACGGGAACAACGTTTTACTGGGGAAGTGTAAGGGTATACTTGGAAACGAAGGTTGTAGAGGGTGACTTCACGAGGAAGAATTTGGCCTTCAAATTTGAGTAGGATGCTAAGTGAAGGAGAGGATATACCAGAATTATCAGATTGACGAATATAACGTTGACAACGGGAGACTTCTAGAATGTTGACACCAGAGTGAGTGTATTGTTTGATCTCTTCATCAGAAAATTCGAGAGGAACATTTTCAATGATGCCTTGGCGAGTGATGGAGAATTCAGGAATGTAAGCAATGACTTTGTAGAGTTTTAGTGAGGGATGATCCATAATAGTATGGGCCTGTTCACGAGTTGGAAAAGTGATGCGAATGGATTGACCAATTTTCTTAGCGGTAAGGTTCACAGACGTCGTGCTAGATTCTGCGAAGATTTTGGTAATAACTTTAGCTAATTTAATATCAAAGAGGTCGACAGTGTCTGATTGACTGTAATCAGCCTGAAACATAACATCAAAGCTCTTATTTGTTGCATTGGGAGGGAATCTATTTTTAAAAACATCAAGATGGATATGAGCGGTGGGCGTCTTTTAGGAGGATTTGAGTTGTTATTGATTTTTTGTTAGGTTTGTGAGGAAGTTGAGGTATTTAGCGGTTTTTGAGTATTGTTTTGGATTGGGGCGTGGGGGATCGACACATGAACCTGTTCAACCGCTCTCTCAGAGTCCAAGTCTAGAGACAACACGTCCCCATATCTATCGGAGTTTTTTCTTTTACCAAGAAATTCCTCCTGATTGTTTTCCATACTAGGTTGATTTTGGGATAGGGGAATTCTTGGCGATGTCGAAAGAGAAGTGAGGGGATGAGATATGGTTTCCTGTTTGGAAGCCATTGCTTGTGCCTTTAACATCTCGATTGTTATATGGGGGTCAGTGGGTATATTGTTCTCAAAACAGTATCCCTAGTGGAAAAACCTAAGGCAGAAGCGTAACATGCCTGATCAGAATTTCGGATCGGACTTGATCAGTTTCTGATCGAGACCTGAACAGAATTTCCACTCGGGATCTTCTATATTCATCCCAAAGAGCGGCCTCAATCAGCTCCTGCTGAGCAGGTGATGGAACGTCATTAGGGGAAAGAGGATTGAAGAAAGGATCATCATGATCATTGAGGAATAGGGGTGGGGGGTGGGGAAAAGTTAGGATCAGAAAGATCATCGTGGCTTTGGGAAAAGTGGACGTAAGGAAAAATTGTCAAACGGAAAAATTGTCAAATGAGAATACGAAAGGGGCGCCATCCGGTAGTGACACCACGGAGTATGGTTTTTGGAGTAAAGAAGAGTTTTCAAGTTAGAATTGTATAGATAAATTCAAAATAATATTTAGTTTAAGATAATCAATTAGGGAAATATCTCAAGCACATTGAATTATACGATATCATAGGGGCAAAATGGATATTTACTGACCTCATTCGATTTCTTCGGGGTGAAATGTATCTTTTCTGAACTCCTACGATTTCATGGGGGCAAAATGGGTATTCTGTGAACTTTTACGATTTCATTGGGGTAAAGTAGGTATTTCGTGAACTCATACGATTTCATGGGGCAAAATGGGTTTTTCGTGAACTCATACGATTTCTTACGGGCTAAATGGGTATTTTCTGACCTCATACCATTTGTTAGGGGTAAAATGGATATTTTCTGTACTCCTACGATTTCATAGCGGTAGAATGGGTGTTTCGTGTACTTCTACGATTCCATAGCGACAAGATGGGTATTCTGTGAACTTAATAAAAGTTAATAAAACTTGATGAAACTCATCACTAAATACATAAATTAGATATCACATGTATATCATCACGATTTGGACCACGGCTATCTTCAAAACTACACCGTGTAGAGATGTGATAACTTCATCTCTGTACTGTATACTGATCCGTTGCAACTGTGATTCATTGAGGAAATAACGGATTTAGGGGACATATCCTACCAGACAGGTAAGTCTTTTATACTTTTCTTTTAATAATATCATTATGAATCTTTTTCGTAATTTTCGTCTAGGTCACAATGCTTCTGTGTATTAATGATTCATTCTTTTTCAAGTCGACAATTATTATCGAAATTATTATATTCTGTTATTATTATATGAATAATTTTTATAGAAAAACGTACGGCATTACAGGACCGCCAGGGAATGGTGTCGTTCCTTTGACGGTTCTACGGAGATATTCCTCTATATTTCCACGCTTTTCCGTGGAATCATTTCTTTGTATTTCTTACAAATAGGGACTAATAACTCGTATAAAAAA